GCTCAATCAGTCAGCCCGAGTTCAAAAAAACACAACCTGTCACGGAGAGAAGGAAGCAGCATCAGGTAAAATTAGCAACACTAATAAACTCATCAACACTGGAGCCCAGGCCGGGAAACGGCGGAGGGAAGACGAAGAGGCCAGGAGATGCTTGGTCCCATGTTGGGGAAGCAGGAGAGAGAACCCACACAGCCTGAAGGAATGTGCTTTGGTGGAGGAACATGGTTTGGGTGGAGACCAAAGACCTGGGCTGCTCCCAGGCCCTCCAGCGCCAAGGGGCTGCCGTCCTGCTCCCTAACGTACACAGCAGCTTTCTTTAAAGTGTATTTTCCTTCTGTTTTGTCCCTTGTATTTGCTTCGAGAGAAAACACACACACAAGGAAGGCTGGAGACCCAGCCACGGTGGGTGGAAGGAGCAGGAGCTCCTGCTGGGATGGCTGCCCAGGGCCGGGGTCTGCAATGGTCCCTTAGAGGCGGCTTTGGTCAGTGATTTCTAGGTAGCACATTTCTGAAGCAAAAATCTCCTCTTTCCTTTGGATGCCAGACTGCTCCGCTGTCCTTTCAAATAACATCTACGAGCCCCTGGAGTTACAAAAAATTGTACAATAACAATCCCCCCAGAGAGAAACGAGAAACCGAAAAACCCCAAGCAGCAGAGAACTGTTCCAATATAACCAAGCTCCAACACTGATTCCCATCAATTTTGCAGCAAACCTGAGTCATGAAATTAAAAGTAGCATCAGCATATTTCCTATTAGCTAGGGTTCCTTTTTTCAGAGCAGATCACACATTCCTACCCTATTTTTCTAGACACTCGTGTCAATGCGATACCATCAGATGCCGTTCAGTCGCTCCTCTTAGCCTGAAAAAAGCTTTCCTGTTGGGAAGGAGGGGGTTTTAATATTTAAAAAAAAGACTCCCTTAAAAGAGCCTTGCTGATTTTTTATTTATTTATCGATTTAATAGCCCTCCCCTGAAAAGAGTGGGCGTGTTTTGTAGCTTTTAAATCTCATGCAACTTTTAGCAGGGCTGCTGTTCAACCCGGCTCTGCTGTCACAGCAGGCAGTGCCAACACCATTGCCACCAGCACCCAGAGCCTGTCCCATCCTCCCCAGCTACTCCTCCAGCACACACCATCCTTAGCTATGGTCATCCAGCATCCCACACCCTCATCCTTCTCCCAGCTCCTTCCAACAGCTAAAAGCTGTAGCAGAAGCAAACCTGCCCCCGGCTGCGTCATCTCCCGACAGCACAAGGCATTACCTTGGTGATGTCCTGGGAAGGCTCTGCCTCTGTCCCCCCCGAGGCTCAATGTGACACCAATGCCCAGCAACACAATTCACACCATCCTCGGCTGTCTCTCAGCTACAGTCCCAACTCCCTCAGCCGCTCCTCATATGATTTGTTTTCCAGGCCCTTCACCAGCTTCGTTGCCCTCCTCTGCACTCGCTCCAGCACCTCCAGATCTCTCTTGTATTGAGGTGCCCAAAACTGCACACAACACTCGAGGTGTGGCCTCACCAGTGCTGAGCACAGGGGCACAATCACCTCCCTACTGCTGCTGGTCACACTATTTCTAATACAAGCCGTGACACCAACGCCCAGCAGCACAATTCACACCATCCTCGGCTGTCTCTCAGATCCTGGATGGGGTCAAGGAATGGAGAGGGGTGGTGCTGCTCCGTGTTTCCTCAGTGCAACGGAGAGGGTGGAGGGGAGTGATGGAGAACCGACCGCGAATGCTGGCACTGCAGCTGTGGGACACTGTGTCTGACCCCTGCTGATCATGAGCCCCTGTAGGGCTGCATTTGGGGTCAAATCACAGAATTACAGAATGGTTTGGGTTGGAAGAGACCTTAAAGACCATCCAGTTCCAACCCCCCTGCCCTGGGCAGGGACACCTCCCACCAGCCCAGGTTGCTCCAAGCCCCCTCCAACCTGGCCTTGAATCCCTCCAGGGATGGGGCAGCCACAGCTTCTCGGGGCAACCTGGGCCAGGCTCTCACTAGCCTCCCAGCAAAGAATTTCTTCCTAATATCTCATCTAAATCTCCTCTTTTCCGGTTTAGAACCATTTCCCCTCATCCTGTGGCTCCCTCCCAGATCGAGAATTCCTCCCCATCTCTCCTGGAGCCCCTTTAGGCACTGGAAGGGGCTCTAAGGTCTCCCCAGAGCCTTCTCTTCTGAGTGAGAGAACTCTCAGCCAAAGGGGCTCTAAAGTCTCCCCAAAGCCTTCTCTTCTGCAGTGAGAGAACTCTCTCAGCCTGTCCTCACAGTAGAGGTATCCATACCCCAATCCTCTCTGAACCCCCCTGACCCAGCAGCAGTGGCAGGATGTATTTGGGGATGCTCATCCCCTTCCACCACGGGTCTCCTGCCCACCCAGAGCTCAGGGCTTCCCAGACAGTGGCCACGTCACCACCCCTGACAACTAACCCCAGTGTTCTCCCCCTCTTCTCCTTCCCTTCCTCCTATAGTCTTACACGGAGATGATCCATAACTGACATCTAAGAGTCCCAAGTTTCTCATGGACATCTAAGAGTCCCAAGTTTCTCACGGATCACCCCAAAAAGGTGTCTCTAGTCCTTTCTCAGGCATCACACGCTTCCAGCACAACTCTCAGGCTCCCACAAACAACTCAAGACGACACCGAAAGAGCCAGGAGACACACAGCTGGAGCAAAAGGCTGCAGGTTCAGAGGTGTGACCTTAGGAGAAGCATGAACTTTGCAATACCTGCCTTAGCCAAGAGCTCTGCTGCTCCCAGGGACCATATGGCAGCACTTGGCAGCTCTTTGCCCCTGCTTGGCATTTAGAGACGCACGCAGATGAAAAGGGTTGATCAGCAGAGGAGGGGTTTGAGCAAAGGGAAACTTCAGGCACCACTGCAAACAAGACAGGGCTGCGACGCACACAGTCCCCCGGCCGCGCACTCATAAATCACATTTTGCAGCTTACAGCACACAAACCCCAGCGAGTGTGCTCAGGGACCCAGCAACCACAGGCACACTTGTTAACACTCCTGCCTCTCCCCTCCAACTGACTGCAAATTTATTACTGATCTCCCCACGTTTCCCAACATGATTTTTCACCAAAGGGGCTGGAGCTTTGCAAGGGACACACTGAAGCCAGACGTGACCCGTGTCCCCACTGCCTGGGGTGGTTGAAAACTCTCTCCCATCAGGGGCAACCAGTCTACCCTCTCTGTTTGCACTGCCCCGGGGGGCTGCCCCTTGGAGGGGGGATGTGGGGGGCGGTGAGCACGGTGGCAGGGCCCTGCAATGGGCTGGAAAGCCCATGGAGCTCGTTATGGAAGGAGCAATCACTGTGAAATTCAGCGTCGCAGTTACTCCTCGCAGCTCCGTCACGGCTGAGATGAGCAGTATAATGACAGCAACGGGAGCTGCCGTGGCAGCGGGGTTCAGACACGTCTGGGGCTTCATCCTGAATTTGCTGTTGGAGCTAGAAACTGTCCCAGCTCCCCTTCCCCACGCCCAACCACCAGCCTGTGTCCCACGGGTGGCCCAGGTGGCTTTACAATGGTCACGCTTCCACGTGAACGCCCCCAGGCCTCCATCAGCGAGCCCTAGGGCTCCCAAAAAGCCCTGGTTTTGCCTGGTTCCTGAGTCTGCTCACAACAGCACCACGCCACGAGGAGGGCAGGGATGCTCTTGCCAAAGCAGGACAGTTACTCCAGCAGCTTCCCAAGCCAGGAACAGGTCCAGGTGCTGGCACACACCGGCACATCAGGCCAAGCACCATCCTGACCACACACTGCTCCCAGCCGTGCTGCCTGTTAAACTCAGTTGAACAACTCAGTCTTGCTGGGAGAAGGGGGTGCAGAGCAGCAATCCACCTCTTCTCCCCACAGAAGGCACCTCAGAAGACTACTGTGTTTTCTACCCCAACTTATTATCCCTTCGCTCTTGGGAGGCAACTTTCCAACGGGCAGGGACGTGTTTTCCCTTGTCACTCTCCAGCATCGCTTCTCGCCTCGCCCGTGTTTTGCTAAGATAGAGGGTTTATTGTAAACTTATTAATTACTTCATTTCTCCTGCGAGGAGCCAGGAGAGGAACGTTCAGAGGCAGCCAGGATCCGCTATTGTGTTGGCGGAGGAGCCGAACGCGGCTGACGTCATGATTCATTTTCCCCCTGACTGAGGAAGGCGACTCGCGGTGCCACGTCGCGCATACGAATCAGGCAGCGTTCCCCCTGGCACAGCTCGCCAGGCAATTCATCTTCCACCAGGACTTCTCCAAGCAGAAGAGAGAGAAAGCCAAACTTTCGCTGCTGCGCTTCCCTGCAAACCCTGTCGGAGAGGAGGGTTGGGGAGACGGGGGCTGCAGCCTCCCCAGAGGACACGCCGGTCCCTCCATGTCTCATCAGTTGGGTCTACAGCAGCTATCTTCCGTGCTTGTAGACACGTTGATAGGTCCCAGGGTGACAGGAATGGGCTGCCCAGGGAGGTGGTTGAGGCCCCATCCCTGGAGGTGTTCAAAAGACGGGTTGCTGAAGTCCTGGGAGGTCTGGTTTAGTGATAGTGATGCTCCTTGTTTGTTGTGTGGGTGTCTATTTTTGTCAGTTAGGTTGACGGTTGGACAAGATGATCTTTAAGGTCCCTTCCAACCTAGAAGATTCTGTGTTTCTGTAACTCCAGCAGGCATGGCCATCCCTGCAGCCACTGCGAGCATCTACAGGAACTTTCTAGCCTGCTCACTGCTACCTTCTCTCCACGCTTAGGAAGTACGTTCCTGCTGATATCAAGAGGAAATCAATACACACAGAAGTTCATAACAAACTTATCTGGCTTACAGCATGAATGAGACTTGCCTGGAAAAATTGAGATAATGATGTCCTCCCTTCTCAAAGCAGTACCAGCACCAGACCGTTGATGGACGATTCGTTATCAGGCTTCACACGTGGGAGAGCAGAGGGGGAGCACAATATAATTTAAAGCCCAAATAAAGAAGTCATACATCCAGTTTGGGAAGTGACACTTTATTCTTACAATAAAAGAGCTACATCCCTTGTAAAACAAAACATCAGGCTTCAAGGGGTGCTCCATCCTCCATGAAGGGAGACCCCCAGCAAGGCAAGCAGGAACCCCCAGCCTGGTGGCAGGCGAAAGCACACCCCGAAGATCTCCCTCCCACCTCCTGCAATCCTGGGATAATCGAGAGCCCAAGAGCCTTGGTGAGGAACAAAAAGCTCATCAGTGACATCTGAGCACACCACACAACACAGATGTGTCACGGGGTCTCAAATGGCCCTTTATGCTTCTGCTTGTCTGCTGAGTGACAGTAGACTCAGGTAACTGTCTAACTTGAAAATAATTTCAACCCTGTTGAGTGATGAGCTATTTGCATGAGCAGGAGGTACCCACAAAGAACCTGCTACTCATGACTGATCCTTCCCCAGGTCCTTGTCCTCGGGGACCAAGCCCTTGGCTCCCATCAGGAGAGGACAACCAGTGGGCAGGAGGCACCACCCTCCTGCAAGGCTCATCGCTTTGCCAGGACCCAGATTTGGGGAAAAGGATGTTGGGACAGTCTGGGCAGTGATGAACACATTTCCCACTTCAAAGGCAGGGAATAGGTCTTGGGGTGGAGCTAGACTTGTCCTCCCATAGAAGGGAAATGATTATTTTCAGAGAAATCAGTACGAAAGAAAGGGGAAGAAGGGGTTCCCAGAACAGAAGCAACCCAATGCCACAAATTAAGGGTGGGAGGGGAGAATTTGTCCTTGCTACCTCAAAGAGTCCTGCCTGGGAGGGCTCCACAGCTGGCTGGTGGCTGGTGGTGGGACGCTAAGCAATGGTCTGGCGGCTGAAGAGGTCGAGGGTGAGGGCGCTGAGGAAGGCAGGGATGCTGTCCTGGCGCAGCAGGTGCAGCTCGATCAGCTCCCGGATGGTTCGCGAGAACTCGGTTTCCAAAAGCTGCATTTTTCCACCAGAAGAGCTGGAGGCCTGAGGGAAATGAAGGAACAAGCTCGTTAATACAACAAGGTCTTAATTCACCTCCCACCACCACCCAGGGCGCAGAACCGGGGTGACCACATCGGGGTCATCGTCACCGTCACCATCACCATCACCACCCAGGTCTTGGGTGGCAGGAGCTGGGCACAAGGGCTTTCTCTCCATGAAAAACACTTGTCCCTGAAGTCATTCCCCTTCTGGAGGAGGAAGCAGACCTGTTCCTAATTAACACGACTCCTTCTCAACGAGCTGCTGATCCACCCTGCATCCCTCAAGCCTTTCTGGATGTTTAAATCAGCCCGGCAGCGCACAGCCGAGAGCTCCAGAGGAATTATTCCAGAGCTGCTCTCATGAAAATAAGGAAACTCAACATGTGGGAAGACATTACAAATCTCCTGTAACATATAAAACAAGCGGAAAAAAAAAAAAGCTAAATGCAAGAGAAATAAGGAATGCTTGAAGCCTCCTCTCCTGCCCCCGGAGGCACGAAAGCTGCTTGTTTATTAATAAACAGCAAAAACATCACAGTGCAAATGCTAATTTTTTTCCCCTGCCATTTTCCTCTTCAAAATGCTCCCGTTCCTAATTGCTCTGCAGCTCTGGTCCCCCTCGGAGCCGAGGAGGAGCAGCGTGGGAGGCGTTGAGCAAAGCCAGCATCCCCCCGGGGTTTGCAGGAAGGGGGCAGACCCCCAGCCCCACCAAAGGATGCCCAGAGCCAGAGCAGAGGATTGCCACAGGAAGGGAAAAAGTGGCATTACCTACTAGGAGGAGAAGGGAAGCAATAACCACCAGGAGCCCCAGGGAACCTGCTCGTTTCTGATTTCATGTTCTCAGGAGCCGGGACACATTTGATGATGAACTTTTCATGTCTGTGTCACTTTGGATTGCGAGGAGCGCGAGGTACCGAGGATGCCCCCGTCACCCCTGAGCCAGGCAGGGAATCTAAACAAGGCTTCCGCACGGAAAAGTAAATTAGCTTTTGTTTAAATCTCCTCCACTTGGGCTGGGTTGTTTTTCAGCAACTCCATAGGCTGTCCAAGGCTTTAATCCGTGGCTTATTGGAGCTGCCCGCCTGGATTTGGGCACATCCCCTGTGCTGCTGCCTCGGATCAGAGAGGCTGAGGAGGAAGAGGGCAGGGATGGCAGATGAAGAAGCCAGTTGGAGGCACAGGGAGGGATGTTCATCCGAAATCCAGGCAGAGCCAGAGGCACAACGTGAGGCCGTGGAGGGACTGGGGAAGCAGCAGAGGGTTTGGGTTTGGAAATCCCACCCCGACTCAGCTGATGGGAAGCGCCGGTTTCGGAGGAAGGTCTGAGTATTACGAACGCATCAATTGTGTCTCCAAACTCGAGTGCTGGATTGGATTCATCTAAAATGGGAATTCAAGCTCTGTATGAAATACACACTGCCTCCTTCGCAGATTTAAAACACTCTTTGGGCACAGAATTAATTTTCTAAGAATTTACAAGTAAATCCATTAATTGGTTTACTAGTTTAATTAATTAAAGCAAGTTCCTTAAGAAATTTAGCATCCAGTGCCAGACCATTTGCTTGTGTTTTATGATCTCGGAAATGGAGTAACATAAATGTTTTAAATTTCCCCTCTACTTTGAGCTCACTGGCATCGTGGGTGAAGGCTACATTTGAATAATTTCTCTTTTATGAGATTAATAGTAATTTCTCTCTCTCCACTGTTCTTCATAACCGAAGTTTCCTCCTTCAGCAGAGGCAGAAGAATAATGTTCAGAGAAAGTTATGTGAACAAACACATGCTTTTGTACAGTCTGTTATTTCCCACTTTGTTCAATGGGACTGTGGTTTCTTTCAGTTGTTGGATGGTCAAGGGAGGCACCATCCTCCCTGCCACAGCCTCCGGCTCCCCAGGAATTCCAAGAAATCTAAAAAACTCAAAAAGCTTCCAAACCCCAGACATCTCACCCAGGTTTCTTATGATCTCTTCTGTAACAGGAACAAGGCAAGGAGGCAGCCACTTGGAAAAAAGGCAATTCTTCCTCTGCCAGGAGATGTTTACATGCTAACTTCGAGGATGGAGGCCCTTGCTGTTCACTTCACTCAATCTCACACTGCTTTTAAAAAAATTTAGTTACTGGTTGTTTTTTGTTTTTTTTTCCTGGGAGCATTTTAAAATTGCTGTCATTGTTACCTTTCTTATTATTTGTTTTTATTGCCTTTTTTTTCTTCACCCACCTGTTAATAACCTGGGATATACAGCTAGATTTGGTGCTTTGAGTTCAGCAGCAGGAGTACCTTTCCAGCATGTGCTTTACGAATCAAGTGATTAGAGGAAATAATAGCAATATGCTCCCTTTAATTCAAAGGATTTCTTTTCCAAATGCTGATCCACACCCTGCCTGGTGCCCACGGGTGGGCTGTGGGCAGAGGGGGAAGCGGCATGGAAATGGGAGGGAGCAGGGGACCAGGGGGACGCGGAGCACCGAGGGGTGGGACACTGGAGGGGATGCTCTGCCCAAGGAACGCTGCAGGCTCTGGTTGTTTCACACCGTTTCGGATGGATGCAGAGCACACCCACGGCTCTAGCTCTAAAAAACAGATTTATGAAAGATGCAAAGCTGAAATTTCCAGCGGTTCAAGTCCTCAAGTCCTCCTCTTCCCAGTTCATCCAGTGCCAGACCATTTGCTTGTGTTTTATGATCTCGGAAATGGAGTAACATAAATGTTTTAAATTTCCCCTCTACTTTGAGCTCACTGGCATCGTGGGTGAAGGCTACATTTGAATAATTTCTCTTTTATGAGATTAATAGTAATTTCTCTCTCTCCACTGTTCTTCATAACCGAAGTTTCCTCCTTCAGCAGAGGCAGAAGAATAATGTTCAGAGAAAGTTATGTGAACAAACACATGCTTTTGTACAGTCTGTTATTTCCCACTGAGTTCAATGGGACTGTGGTTTCTTTCAGTTGTTGGATGGTCAAGGGAGGCACCATCCTCCCTGCCACAGCCTCCGGCTCCCCAGGAATTCCAAGAAATCTAAAAAACTCAAAAAGCTTCCAAACCCCAGACATCTCACCCAGGTTTCTTATGATCTCTTCTGTAACAGGAACAAGGCAAGGAGGCAGCCACTTGGAAAAAAGGCAATTCTTCCTCTGCCAGGAGATGTTTACATGCTAACTTCGAGGATGGAGGCCCTTGCTGTTCACTTCACTCAATCTCACACTGCTTTTAAAAAAATTTAGTTACTGGTTGTTTTTTGTTTTTTTTTCCTGGGAGCATTTTAAAATTGCTGTCATTGTTACCTTTCTTATTATTTGTTTTTATTGCCTTTTTTTTCTTCACCCACCTGTTAATAACCTGGGATATACAGCTAGATTTGGTGCTTTGAGTTCAGCAGCAGGAGTACCTTTCCAGCATGTGCTTTACGAATCAAGTGATTAGAGGAAATAATAGCAATATGCTCCCTTTAATTCAAAGGATTTCTTTTCCAAATGCTGATCCACACCCTGCCTGGTGCCCACGGGTGGGCTGTGGGCAGAGGGGGAAGCGGCATGGAAATGGGAGGGAGCAGGGGACCAGGGGGATGCGGGAGCACCGAGGGGTGGGACACTGGAGGGGATGCTCTGCCCAAGGAACGCTGCAGGGTCTGGTTGTTTCACACCGTTTCGGATGGATGCAGAGCACACCCACGGCTCTAGCTCTAAAAAACAGATTTATGAAAGATGCAAAGCTGAAATTTCCAGCGGTTCAAGTCCTCGAGTCCTCCTCTTCCCAGTTCATAGCTAGGACTCCCTCCACTCATTTGTGATCTATTTTTGAAATTAAAAAAAGGTCTCAACCCTCAAAGAAAAACTCCTGGATGCACCCCCTGCTAACAAAACTTGTAGGTGACAGCACCTGCCAGCTATTCACATGACACACTCCATGTAATGCAATCGCCATTCACCCCAGTGATGCATCCCTGGAAATTCAAAGTTTAGATGAAGCCAAAAGCCACCAAAGCCCATCTAGGAGGAAAATGCCCAGCTGAGGAACCTAAACAACCATCACTGATCCACAGGGACAGTCCATGAGTGGGAATGGGGCAAGAAAGACCAGCGCATATTCAAACCCAGCCCTACCTGCTCTGCGCCCAACATTATCGACACGTCTTCTGCTGAGATCCTCATGGTTGAAAGGAACCTTTAAGATCATCGAGTCCAATGACAAAAAAAACCCCAAACCAAACAAAAAAAATCTCCAAGCCCCACACAACCAACCACAAACAGATACAAACAACATTATCGACACGTCTTCTGCTGAGATCACAGAATCCTCATGGTTGAAAGGAACCTTTAAGATCATCGAGTCCAATGTGCTGAGATCACAGAATCCTCATGGTTGAAAGGAACCTTTAAGATCAAAAAAAACCCCAAACCAAAAAAAAATCCCAAAACCCCACACAAACAAACCACAAACAGATACAAACCAACAATCTCGGGCACTAGAGCATGCCCTGAAGAGCCATGTCTACACGTTTCTTAAATCCCTCCAGGGATGGTGACTCCACCACCTCCCTGGGCAGGCTGTTCCAGTGCATGACCACCCTCTCAGTAAAGTCATTTTACCCAATATCTAATCTAAACCTCCCCTGCCCCAGCTTCAGACCATTCCCTCTGCTGCTGTCATTATTCCCTTGGGAGAAGAGCCCAACCCCCACCTCTCTACACCCTCCTCTCAGATTGTCTTTCTTACTCGGTACCTCACTATGGTGCCTTGTTGCTTCACAAGTGTGAAAAAAACCCATCAGGATTTAGAGTCAAGCTGAATAGACGGGGCTGAAGGAAAAGCTGAGCCTGCGAGTGCCCACAGCCAATGCATAGAGGAGTCAATGCAAGAGGAGACATTGGGGACCACCATCATGCTCCACTCCCCCCTTTCCCCACGGCTGAGCACAGTGCTTCACTCTAGACACAAATATTTCCCCCGTGCCCCCAGCTTCCCTCCACACAGAGCTGCCCAGGAGATGAAGCAAAATAC